GCTGGCTCTCGATCACATCGTGATCTGTTGAGGAGGCTGTATTTATGTATCCATCAAACTGCGAGACTCAACCAAACTTTCCAACTTTCAAAAGGTTTTCGAACCGTGGGGACTAGTAACCACGATGTCACAGTGATCCAACGCAGTACAAAGGTCTTTCTTCATCCCCTTCTAGAATTTCTAGGAGCCGTGCTCTTGTTACTCAAACCACGAATTCTTCGGATACAATCAACAACTCCATATTTTTCCTGCTCGGTTTCTCCTACCAGCTCGAGCTCCTTCAGCTTTCTGACTGGCTGACTCGAGGCGCCGAACTGTATACCCATTTCTTAATCGCAATCTCAGAGCCTGAAGCTTGCGCCACAGTCACCAAGCTAGGTCAAGCTTCTTTCCCGGAACCAAATCCAGTCCCCAACAAATTGACTGGTTCGCAGTGGATATCACATATACCCGCTCCTGACACGTTTTGTAGTACCTCTCCTGGAAGATTCAAACCATTATATCGTTTTTTGGTAACCTCGGCCGTCCCCAGGAACGCGCACTCTGACATCCCAATTAGTAACAAGAGGTAACAAGACTTGCTTGCTTGAGTTGTAGAATTGACTTAGCGACCGAGTCGGCAAGCCTTCTTCTTCCATCGCAAAAAGCAACTCGTTCAATTTCGTAGAGTCTCTTCTATACATACATATTACCGGTAAGATTCAGTTGCCTCTTTGGCCAATGATGACTTCATCGTTTCTAGGCACCTCACGGTGATCGATTGCTGACAGAGGGACTCCTGCTTCGCTACATGCCCCTATGAAAACTAGCTGACTTTGGTGAAACCCAGCGACTCGGCATTGGTGACTGTAAACGCTGACGCGGGGGGGAGCGTAACAAGCAAAGCAAAAGATCCCTGAATCAGATTACTTGGGTTGACGAGTATTCAGTTTAACGCGTCCGGCACACAAGCGGTGAAAAGGCCGACTGAAGCCATCTACTGGGATCAATCTGGTCCAACCTGAGTTGTTGCCACACTACCTAAACACTTCTCCTCGGACCGAGTCTGGGTATATGGAATCCGAAGCGGTTGCCCCAACTGTGAACTAATTGAAATTGATTTATAACATCATCGCAACATTGCTCTCTGTCGTCGTCTTTAACCTTTTCGACTCGGTTCGACTAGCCTCTCGTCTTTTGTTGTTTACCCCACATTTCGGCCGGTCCAAAAGAACCAAACTCCAACCAATCCAGCCCTGCTCCCTTCGACCCCACTCGAGCTTTGAAACCTTGAAGACACCGAATCAAAAATATTGTACTGTCCAACATAGAAGCAAGATCCCATCTGTGGAAGTATTGTAATTACACGCTCTACATACACACCTACTTACATCCAATCAAATATTCATCCACATTCCAAGTCCCAACTCCACGAGTCCACCCCCACCCAATCCAGGTCGGCATACATAAAACCGAAAGTGAAAATCAAGAAGGGGACGAGACGATTGTTTTAAGCTTAAATACGTATTGTTGCACTTCCGTCAAAGAATCGGGCAATCGTGAGAAGGAGGGTCTTGCGGTTCAGAAGAGTCGGTACATACATACATAAATACACCTTAACTCAAGAAAACATCGCATTAGCCGGCCAGCCGTTCCCCCCCCGCACCGCTTGTAGATTTCCACTTCTTTCTTTTCGAGGTTGTGAACCAAGCTACCAGCCGAACATGTATGTCCATCTTCCTCCTGATTCATACATTCCCTCTTCACATACTCTCTTTCTAGTGCGGTGCAACTAGTACATATCCTGAAGTTACTACAAAAAGGAAGTTCATGTCCAAGTAGCCTCGACAATTAGTCCAGCCTTCATCATTAGTGACTCCTGGTGCTGTGATGTGGTGCAGAGTTTTCCTGCCTGAATTGAACAGAGTTTGCGTCTGTTTGCGTCAAGCTTCCCATGCACACTTCAAAAAAACCCCTTCCCCTACCTGAACTCAACTTCGCCCCTCTGTCCACCTCAGTCTCACACCCCTGAGTCCTGCGTACAGATCGAGAACTTATTCTAAATTTCAAAAATGTCCCACTGATATGTATTCCTCTCCCACCTTCAATCAAGTGGTCACTTTTGGATAATTTTATTTGATATCCACATCCAATCCGTTCCAACTTTTTCGTCCTGCCTGCTATACAAACACCGTCACCGCGAACTTCACAATATTGATAATTGCATGCAACTAGATACAACTATTCCACGTCCATCATACGCTAATCTACCCACATGCACGCTGTGCGATCGGCGAAATAACAGGCGAAAAGCAGACCTCATCCAATTCATTCCTGTCTCCAAATAACCGTTTATAGCCTCCTCCTGACCCCTTCCCCCCGCGCAACAACCATCTTCCTTTGCCTTCCGGCTGGTCTCAATTATACAGCGTGAGTTGTGTAGAAAGCGCTCTACCTGAAGTTCATTCGGCTGTACATTCCAGATATGAACTCTTCAGTATTTGTCGCCAATGGCTTGAGCCAATAACATTCATCACATATCATCACATATCATCTATCTGTACGATGGGCCACTCTTGACGCGCGCTCTCATTCCCCCTTGCCATATCTTGCCCACATACAACATGGCGTCAAGTCATTTGCTGACATGATTGTTTTGCTTCAACCAACCAGATTTACCGCGCGGATCGTCGCACATCCAGTAGCTTGACCGACCCATCTCTATCTCCTCAACCTTCCTATTCCCCCACATACCATACACGAAAATACCCTGCCAAGACTTCTCAACAATGTGGAAGCTTCCCACATCTCGGAGGTTGTGGGCATTCATCCTTGTCCTCTCGATCCTCGTCGTGATTTTCTGGCAACACATCTTTTTACTGGCGAGGATTTTGTCGGTTTATCCACTTTGGCCAATTTACTCATCGAGCCTCTCACTCAGTCTTGACAAGGACGGCTTGGATACAACATTTGAAAAGTATCCGGTCGAACAATGGAGTGTCAAATGGCCCCCTCGATCAGCCAACGGTAGTTGGCCCGCCCCTGATTCAAGTCTATTGCGGCTCAGTGACGGAAGTTTGGCAAGATTACCCGATGAAACATACGGCGGTGGTGTCAGCTACTCAGAGCCCGATGAATCCGATTTAGTACCCCCAATCCTGCACCACATTCTTCTGGGTATGGACCGTCGGCGGATGCCCAAAACATGGACGGCCAGTCGGAACAGCTGTCTCGCGTTAGTGTTTTACACCACCGTTTGCGCATTTAGCCCGATCTCAATCAAAAGCTGACATCATCACCACACTTAATTTGGGTAAATTTTTTGGCGTGTGTTTGCGCAGGCTTCATCCCGAATCAGCTAATTACACTCACCACTTTTGGGACGATAAATCTGCCGAGGAATTCATGCGAAAACATTACTCATTCTTCCTGCGCGACTTCCTTGATTACCGGCACAACATTCAACGGGCGGACGCGCTGAGATATTTCGTCTTGCACCATTTTGGCGGGATTTTCTTTGACATGGATCTCGAGTGTCGACGTTCCCTCGGGCCACTTCGAAGGTTTGCGGTCGTCAACATCAATGCTTCTCCAGTGGGCGTTTCAAACGGGTTCATGATGGCACAAGCTCAACACCCTTTCCTGGAACAACTTATCAAGAATCTCAAATATTACGATCGTAGCTGGCTAGGGGTCCCCTATTTTGATATTATGCTATCAACTGGACCCATGTTTCTATCAACAGAGCATCTCCGTTTCCCTGCCTCTCAGCGTTCCACTCAACTACGGGTTCTCGGTGGACGGCAGCATCGGCTACACGGAAGCGTCGTCACTCCGCTCTTCCGACACTTGGGTGCATCTTCATGGCACCAAGGCGACGCCAAGTTGTTCCTCAAAATTCGGGCGTTGGTATATCAGCCGTTCTTCAGTTTGATGTTGTTATGTGGATTCATCGGTGGAAGTGTCGGTTGGCTTGTGTGGAAAAAACAAACCACCAAGCAGGGTGTCGATCGAAGCTGGTCCCAATCCTCATCTTCAGCCGGTCGATTGATTCTATGGAGATTCGGTTTTGGAAGCAGAAGGGGACGTCGGAGGACGGCGGAAGAATATGAAAGAATTGAAATGGATTTAGAATCTCCGACAGGTATGATGAACAACAGACGACTATCACCAATTCTTGAAGACGACGAAGATCTTGAAGCAAAATCAAACTCTGACCTCGAACACAAGCAATCAATTCTAAACTTTGGACGCAAACGACCTGCGTACAACACTCTGAAATCACCTACAACCCCGAGCGTGTTCATGAGCGAAACCGAGAACCTGTGTCACAACGCAAGTAGTAGCGGCGGAAGTTGCCCGAGTACGAGTAGTGACTCAGACGACGACGGATCTTCGGCAGAGGCCGTGGTAGTTCTTATCGATCGACATCCTTCTAAATGGAGAAGTTCATAGACGAAATCCACCCAAAACTCAATTGTCTAGATGTAAGATTTTGCCGATTAGAGATGGACGCACCTTCACTCTTCTTGTCGATCCTACCGGGTAGTTTTTGTTATATGCACAATCACGTACATAGCTTTTAATGATGTATATTTTGATGTTAAATAAAATTTCTTGGCCGAACTCATTCAGGATGGTTTTGAAAATTCCAGCTTAAATGTAGTTTTATCATTGTCCCTTCTCGAAAAATTTTGGCGATTTTTTTTTCTTTATTTTTCTGTTCTTTTCATCATTCTTGTCTAGTTATCACCGATTGAGTCTGCTTTCCCTTTTTTATTATTATCAAGGATCCTCATTTTTATGAAATCTGTCAATGGAATAATAATTGTCCAATGAAACTCAACAACGTCTTGAGAATGTTTTGATCCCCCCCACGTTCCACTCTAACTCAGGGCGGAGCGCTTTCTCACAGGCCAAACTTGGCTCTCTTTCCGTAGTGGATTTGGTTCGAGCACATTTTTTGGCGAAGCGATCCGTCATTACATAGAGTGCGTGCTTCTGAAGCTGGAAAGTTGTTCAGAAATGAGCTCTCAAGTCATCGCCTCAAGCTAATGGGAGTGTCGAGATGGTATCATTGTAGATGGTCGCAACACGGCAGTAAGATTCTTCAAGATGAAATTCAACTCCTGTCTTGGTGAGGGAAAATCCATCCAGCCGAAGTTGGATCAATCGAACGGAACCGTTGCATTGCCCCGATTCTCACCAGTTCGCATCTCTTCACCACGGGAAGGTTCTTCCCTCATAGTGCGAGAGATAGCCGTTGAGATCTTCTTTCCCTTGTTGGATTCCACAGAGTATATGCCTGTTGTGCTCAATTCATGTACGAATTGGGAACCTTGAAGCTCCGAGCGCCGACTAAAGAGTCACAACAAACATTCGAGTCACATCCTATCACATTCACATGGAAGGCCTGATACGCCATAAAGTGCCGACGGCAGACGTGTCAACAATCGACGAACTCAGGAAGAAACAAAAAAAAAAAAAAACTTTCATTTTCAAAAAATTTCTTTATGTGTTCTGTTTCTTCAAATTCTAGTTTCCAAGTTTTGTCAAAATTTTAAATTCTATTTCGCAAATATACATAAAGTGTAAATTCTATCTCGAGTTACACATACTATGTAGTTAGGCGCGTCAGGGAATGTTGAGATCCCGACGCGTGTCGATTCAATTTTATCTTAAGTAGTCTTTCACTTCTCGAACTCGCTCTTTTCCCCTCATGGGATTTATTTTGTTTTCATTCTCTAAACACTTTCAAAGTTTAAAATACATAAAATTATTTCTTACCATCATCAGGATCTGAGTATCCTCCCTGCACCCTGCCGATTTGCCCCTGCTACCTTGAAAATTCTTTACATTATAAATCCCACACACCCTTTATAAAACTCTGTTTTACTGATAAACCCTGAATCGCCTTTATCAAACTGTCGGAAAAATCCTCTAACGACGAATTCTTCTCAATACACTCCGACTCCACTAGCTCAACTTCCAATCCGCTTCACCCATCTCTTCCTTCTCGACATCTATTTCCATATTCCACTCGACCAACCCCCCCTCATCTCTCGCTTCCATTTCCCCCCTCTCTGCAGAGTCGACGAGTTCACCCGGGTTCGCGATCTCGACGGGACATGCCACCATACGGATTGTTACACGCGGGCGATCAAACCCAGGACGAGATCGATCCACAACAGGCCTCCGGATCCGGCGGTCCTCAAGTACAAGACTCGGCGGCGCGAGTGGTGCGAGGAGAAGAACTCGATCAGGTTTCGGCGGAGGTGGCACGGATGCAGAGGTCCATCGATCGGATGATGACTCTGATGGAGAACTCCGCTATCTTTCAGCCTCCCCCTCCTGTTCAAGCCCCTGTGCAGACACCGCAAGAGTTCACTCACCCTGCTGCTCTCCCTCAATTCCAACCCCCACCTCCCCCTCAATTCCAACCCCCACCGCAGGTTCCATCGAACCCCTTCCAGAGGCACGTGGTCCCTCCGGTTCAACCTCAACAGTCCCAGCCCATCCCGGTCTTTCAGGAGAACACGTTCCAGGAAGAAGACCAGTCGACAACCCCGGAACCCCCGCGCCTCAAGGATGTTTTCTTTTCAGGGGAACCGGGTCATCTGCTCTCTTTTCTCAGGACGATCAGAGATTTTCTCAGGAATAATACGGGGTTCAGCTCGGAGAAACGACGAGTCGTCTGGATATCTCGTCACTTCGGTTTCCATCCATCCGAGCGAAAGAAAACGCCTTCGCCAGCGGAGAACTGGTACAGTTCTTTGGTTATCGATAACGCCCGTCGGCAGGGTGTCATCGACGTTTATGGCGATTTGGACGGTCAGCCATTCATCCTCCCCACGCTGTCTTCGGTTTCGGCCTTCCTAGAAGGACTGATTACGGTCTTTGGAGACAAGTTCATGCGGGAGAACGCCAAACGGGCGTTAGAAGCGTGTAAACAACGGAATTTGACGATTGGAGAATACAATTCCCAATTCAAGTCCCTTGTTTATTTGGTTGAAGATGTTGAAGCGACAAGAATCGAGAAGTACACGTCGGGTCTCAATCCAAGAATCATCCGGAAAGCCATGTCGAAACAATGGACGGATGCTAAGACGTTGGACGAAAAGATGGAGCTAGCTTCGGACGCGGCGGCCCAGCTTGATATTCTCGCCCTGCTGCCTCCTGACCCCCCGATGGGAAATCATTTTCACCCGTTGTCTTCGTCACGAGTGGTCCACCCACCGCCCCCTCCGCCTCGACCCCTGCGGGACCCGGACGCGATGGAAATTGATGCGACGCGAGCAATTCCTGCCCCGGCCGGGAAGTCGCTCCTGGACGCAGCTCGTGCCATCTGTAGAGCTCGAAATTTGTGCTTCAGATGCTTGGCTCCAATCGTCCCAGGAGTACACACCGGCAGTCTCAACTGTCCCAATCCGTTCATCACGACAACTCAACGTCAGGAGTTCGTTGATCGCTGCCGTCGGAACCCGAACGCGACTCCAACATCGGTCTCCAGCATCAGGACCATCCCACCCCCCTCTTCGACCTTCTTGACTTACCAACCAACTTCGCCGACATCCCCTCTCCCCGCCCCGGACAGATCTTCATTGACTCCCGATGATTCACACCCTCCGGTTGCCGCCCCCGGCTCATCGTCTCATCTAGGCTACGATGAACATTATGAAGATTATGATGAAGAGGAATGCGCCACGGTGGATGTCCCACTCGCTACGGTTCAGGTTAGGTTGGAAGGCTCCAAGGGAAGCCGCTTGTTGGTCCCGGCTTCTTTCCGCGGTCCCGGAGGCGCCTTGATCCCGGCCACTATCCTCGTCGACACCGGTGCCATGGCCAACTTTGTCAATGAAAGCTTTGTTCGACAACACGACCTCAAGATCCGCCCCCGCAACACCCCGATCCGATGTGTTGGCTTCGATGGTCGCGAGGGAGTTGGAGGCCTAGTCACTCAGGATTGGGCAGGTATGATTCAGCTCTCCTCAGTTGATGCAAAACCTTTCACGCTTCAAAGTTCGTTTGGCATCACTCGATTGGGATCAGTAGACGCCATATTTGGACTGCCGTGGTTGGACAGGCAGGGTTGGGTAGCCTCAGGTAGTCTGAATGGGGGACACCAATTTACTTTAGGGTCAACCTCTCTCTACGTGATCGAATCTGCGTCGGTGGGAGGGAAGCCTGGAGGTAATGAAGTGTTTTCTCTTCAGACAGTTCCCCCTTCTCCTTTCTCACTTCCTCCTGAATTTCAACAATATGCTGACGTCTTCTCACCGCAGATGAATTGTACACTCCCTCCCCATAGACCAATGGATATTTCTATTAATCTTAAGGATGGAGCCACACCCCCCTTTGGGGGCTTGTACAATTTGTCGTTTGATGAACAGCAGCAATTGAAAACGTATATTGATGATAATTTGAAAAAAGGATTTATCCGTGTCTCTTCTTCTAGTGCCGCAGCCCCTATCTTTTTTGTGAGAGTTCCGGGTAAGAAACCCCGACCGTGTGTGGATTATCGTGGTCTCAACTCAATGACGGTCCGTGATAGCTACCCGATCCCAATTGTGGGACATCTCTTGAATCAGTTGCAAGGTTGTAAATTTTTTACAAAAATTGACCTTAAAGCTGCATTTAATTTGTTGAGGGTAGCTAAGGGCCACAAGTGGAAGACTGCATTCCGCACACCGTGGGGGTTGTATGAGTACTTGGTAATGCCTTTTGGGCTTGCCAATGCTCCTGCCTGTTTTCAACGTTTTATCCAATTTGTTCTCAGGGAAATGCTGAGCGTATCTTGTTTTGTTTACATAGATGACATTTTGATTTTCTCAAAGACGCGGGAGGAACACCAACACCACGTCTCACAGGTTTTGTCAAAATTGCAGGAACACTCTTTGTTTGCCTCACCCGAGAAATGTTCCTTTTACGCTGACAAAGTGACTTTTCTGGGTTTTGTCATTACATCTGATGGTCTCAAGATGGAGGAAGACAAGTTGAAAACGGTGACAGATTGGCCTTACCCAAAGAATCTAAAGGAGCTGAACAAATTTTTGGGTTACATCAATTTTTACAGGAAATTCATTGCCGGGTTCTCCCGGATAGCGGCTCCTCTAACCTCTCTGACGAAAGAAAGCGAGGACACCGTTTTAGGCCTGCAATCAGCTAAGTCTCGAGAGTCTTTTGATGAATTGAAGAAGTGTTTTACTTCGGCCCCTCTCCTTCAACACTTTGATTTCACCAAGGAACGGATACTACATGTTGACAGTTCGAAATATGCTTTATCTGCGGTGTTGTCTCAGAAAGATAGGACAGGCCAACTCCGACCGGTTTCCTTTCTGTCTAAGAAATGGAACGACGGCGAGATCTCTTGGCAATGCCATGATCAGGAACTTGGGGCCATTGTCCAAGCCTTTATAGAGTGGAGAGCATGGTTGATGGATACACGGGAGCCAGTTGTTGTGATGTCGGATCACGCAAATCTAAAGTATTTTTTTACAAATCAAAATCTGTCTGACCGCCAAACAAGATGGGCAGTGTTTCTTTCGTCCTTCAATCTAGTAATTCGACATGTGCCAGGGAAGCGAAATCCGGCAGATCCCCCTACCCGGCGCCCAGATTTTTTACCCGCTGATGGGGACGAAAACTCTCTCCGCACCTTGCTCACCCACTCGGAAGAAGGGGCAAGAGTGGAAGGCTCTTCGCTGGAAGTTTGGGATAGTCGTATGGATATTGGAGAAGTAGTTTCTGTCTGTGATATTGAGGAAGGAGAGGATACGGACCCAGTGGCTGATAAGACATTAAAAGACTATTCCTTTTGTCTTCCTTCACCTGAGTTGAAGGATCTGTTGCAGGAAGCGTACCAGAAGGAACCGCCGGATCCGGAAGAAGATGATGATCTGGAATTTCGTGACAGTCTTTGGTGGTTCAAGGATCGAATTTTTGTGCCCCATTCACTCCGCCCTCGCATCCTCAAGGACTTCCACGACGAACCTACGGCAGGTCATTTGGGATCACTCAAGACACTGGACCTCATTAGTAGGACAATGTCTTGGCCGGGGATTCGCCGGGATGTCATAAACTATACTAAGTCATGTTTCTCTTGTCAACGATCAAAACATTCAAATCAGCGTCCCCCGGGGTTTATGACCTCTCTGTCTGTTCCTCGAAGACCATGGAGTGTCATAGGTTTAGATTTTGTGGTGAAACTTCCATTGTCGTCAGGCTACGATTCGATACTGGTCGTGGTGGATCACTTTTCGAAAGGCATACATCTGATTCCGGCGAATGAAACCTGGACGGCGGAGGAATTTGCTGCGTCTTTTTTTGATCGGATCTTTCGTCTTCATGGATTGCCGGACAAGATAGTTTCTGACAGAGGTTCCTTATTTGTCTCAAAATTCTGGAAAGAAGTGCAACGCCTCCTCCGAATTCAACCCGCCCCGTCCACGGCGTATCATCCCCGGACAGATGGTCAGACAGAACGCGCGAATCAAACGGTGGAGACCTTTTTGCGACATTTCGTGTCTGATCGCCAGGAGGATTGGGTGGATCTTCTCCCTATAGCTGAGCTCGTTTTTAATAATTCTGTCTCCGCTTCTACAGGCTTCTCCCCTTTTTTCTCCCAATATGCTTTCCATCCTCGGGTTAATACTCTTAGCGATGGGTCTACAGTACCAGCCGCGGAACGTCTCCTCACGGATCTGACATCGGTACAAGAAACTTTGCAAGACAACCTGTTGAGAGCGAAGGAAGTCCAACGGACTTACTTCGATCAACGGGCCAGAGATGCTTCTGAGTACGCGGCCGGAGATTGGGTTTGGCTCTTGCGCAGAAATATTGCTTCTACTCGTCCCTCGGGGAAGCTGGATTTCAAAAGATTGGGCCCTTTCTGTATAGATCAGGTTTTGGGAAAGGACATATATCGTCTGATTCTCCCCGAGGATCTTTCCAGGACGCATCCTGTGTTTCACACGTCTCTTTTACTCCCTTTTGTTGACCCCCAAGGATTCCCCAATCGCATTGGCCCTAATGCCCCCAGGGGGCCAACAACAACCAGTCCTGACTTTTGGGATGAAAGAGATGTGGAAGCTTTGATAGGTTACCGGGCGCCCACGCGTACACGCAAATCACACGAATATCTAGTGCGATGGCGTGGCGGTTCAGTAGCTGACAACTCTTGGGTCAAGGGAGGGATGTTTGAAGAATCTATGCATCCTTACATTGAACAATTTCATGAAAAATTTGGTTCCAAATCAATCAGATTGCCTGCTGATAAATCTATTCGGACTTTGCTTTAGGTACATGGCCAGGCATTTTGTCAACAATCGACGAACTCAGGAAGAAACAAAAAAAAAAAAAAACTTTCATTTTCAAAAAATTTCTTTATGTGTTCTGTTTCTTCAAATTCTAGTTTCCAAGTTTTGTCAAAATTTTAAATTCTATTTCGCAAATATACATAAAGTGTAAATTCTATCTCGAGTTACACATACTATGTAGTTAGGCGCGTCAGGGAATGTTGAGATCCCGACGCGTGTCGATTCAATTTTATCTTAAGTAGTCTTTCACTTCTCGAACTCGCTCTTTTCCCCTCATGGGATTTATTTTGTTTTCATTCTCTAAACACTTTCAAAGTTTAAAATACATAAAATTATTTCTTACCATCATCAGGATCTGAGTATCCTCCCTGCACCCTGCCGATTTGCCCCTGCTACCTTGAAAATTCTTTACAAGACGGCCCAAGACTTCAATGACCAAGATTGAATTCCTCATCAACTTGCAGGCACACTCCTGCGCGGGGTCCCACCCGAAGATGCACCGAAGTATCTCAGACAGAATTGTTCTCACAAGTCTAGATGTTCTTACAGCAGGTCCGATTGTATCGACCCAGGTGGAGGAGAAATCTCTCATCGGCACCTAGTGGCTGCTTCCGTGCTGGACCATGCTAACTGTGTTCCGAGTGAGACGAGCCGGGCAGTCAAACGCTGTTAACGTCTTCTCTTCCCCCTTGCCCAATTCGAAAGCACCGTCCCATCCCATCAACGTTGATACGCTGATCCTCTCAAGCGCCCAAGTAGAGTATCCGTGGAATTGAAGCCTCGCAACGAACACACTTACCCAGTACTTTCGAAGAAATTGCTAGTGGACAGGTTTCAAGGTAGGTTGGTTTAGCTTTTGACATTCGTCGGCTCCAGTGACACTTTTTTACGCTTTTCTCATTTCTTGCTCATCTACCGCAGACACAGGTGTCCGAACTGTAAGTTCTGCCTTTCACGTCATGTCATGAGAAATACAATGTGATCAAGTGGACTTGTCTTCGTTATTGGCGCATATCCGTCCAGTAACAGTAGCTAATCTTTTACCGTGTCATACCGCTGGGCTTCCCGTAAACCAGGACAATCCACATTATATCAATTTTACAAAATCACATAAATATTTCATAATTCTGCAATAAATAATAAACACCCAGTTATACAGCCCATTCGGCTCTCTCAACTCAGTAAATCATTGGACGATCACAACCTTGCGGTATCAATAACACAGACAGGCAGTTCAATATGGTCCCAGCTTCTCGCTGGTCCCTCTTTCTCTTCGCTACACTCGCTACATTAAACTTCACCAAGGCTGCCAATCAGAACACATCTCCCTCTCTTCTACCCAAGCGGTATCTTGTTTCACTGAATCGTGACAAATCAGTTGAGTCAAGTTCCGTTGGATTTTCAGTACCGATAGCAGCTGACAACCGTAATTATTTCGTAAATGTTAGACTTCGTTGGAGGACTTCAAAGCGCACCTTCATAGCAAGGGAGTTCAGCATGAAGTTGTGTTGGATATGACCAAAGTGCTCCCCGACGTGTTTTACGGTCTTTCCGTGAGACTCTCGGATGAGGACGACCTGCACCACTTGGAGAATTCTGCTCATGTGGAGGTGCGCTAGCCCGACGTTGTCACAGCCCTGACGGACTTGTCTGACATTTTTATAATTTCTCTGGGGAAAACGCCTCTCTGATTGGCATTTCCCAATCTTGTTGGACGCAGAAAATCAGTCAAGTTGAAAAAATCAGACGCGCTGGTACATTCGACGAGAGGATTGTAGATGCACCTATAAATTCAACTCCATCGCTATTTCCCCCTCAAGTCCAGAGTCGGATCACCGAACTTCACAAAATGGGAATTTACGGAAAAGGTGTCAAAGTAGCTTTAATAGACTCCGGCGTTGACTGCAGCCATCCGGCCTTAGGGAAAGGATTCGGGCCAGGATTCAAGATAGCCTTTGGAAAAAACTACGCCACCGATGATGACGAAGACGAAAGTGGGGATAGCGACTCTGTCAACCACAGCATCGAGCCCCATGGCTTGGGACCTCGAGCTATGCACCTTGCGGCCAGAAAAAACAAACAGGAAAAGAAAAAGAAAAAGAAAAATGACAGTCCGTGTACCCAATGTACAGTAAGTTAGTTGTTAATCAGCAGTTTTCTGAAAATACCTTCTGATGTTATGATGTTATGGGTTGCACTCAGTCCCACGGAACACATGTGGCTGGAATAGTTGCCGCGACAGATGTCGGCTACGGATTTATGGGAGTGGCTCCCAATGCCACCCTTGGGATGTATCGTGAGTAGGACCGCGGTATTCTAAATCACCATGTGCATCCAGTAGTTGATCCTCTTTCTCGATTTCTTGATTCTCAGGTGGTAAGATTCCGGATCTAGATCACAATCTGCTACATTTCTTGAATCTGACATTTTAATGCTGAACAGTCTTTGGATGTGGTGATGAGGGTGATTCCAGTACTGATTCTCTCGTTGCGGCCATGTTACAAGCTCACAAAGATGGGGGTATGTGGAATGCCACCTTTTTTCCTACAAGTCGTCTAAGTCTGACTTTTTTCAAAAATCACTGCGTGCCTGTTTCAAAGCCGACATCATTTCAGCCTCCATAGGTGGCCCTGGCGGTTGGGGGCAGGGTGAAGAGCTGCTGACCACTGTAAACAAATTAGTTCAAGAGAAAGGTGCAATTATAATTGTCGCAGCGGGCAACGAAGGTTCGGTGAGTGAACAAGAAAACCTGCACGACTTCCGCAGGCCTTTGTTAACTCGGTTGGTGATTGCAGGAGGGATTGTTTTTTGGGGACAATCCAGCGTCAGCAAAGAATGCCATATCAGTTGGCTCGGTGGAGGCACAATCAATAGTGGCGGGAAAGTTCAAAGCTTCAACTGGCAAGGAGCTCACGTTCTACCGGACCAGCACACTGAACCTCTCTGGCGAGTATCCGGTTTATATCACTGCCAATTCGACCGACGACTCAAGTGATGCTTGCGACGAACTCCCCAAGCATACACCGAATCTCACCAATCATATCGTGCTGGTTAAGAGAGGGTAAATCTGTTTCTCATTCTCACCGGCAGGTGATATTTCTGACACTTCGGGTTGCCACAGAACTTGTCTTTTTTCTATCAAAGCAAAGCACGTCGCGGCCAAAGGCGGGAAGCAAATCCTTTTTTACATGGTGAGCCTTCTGACATTTGTTAGATTGTTCATCCACTGATCAATTGAAATCTCTTTCTGCAGAATTCAACAAGTATTGTCACCTTACCCAACAAAATGGCAAATGCTTCTACTGCCCCGATATCATTGGAAGATGGGAGATATATTTTCCATCAGGCCAAGAAGGATCCCAATGGTTTCAAAGTTTCATTCCCGCCGAGCGGTCACTTTTATCGTAAGCGCATTTACTATTGAGGTTTGCTTCTGCTGCTTGAGATACTGACAAATTGTCATCCTCAGTCAATGTTCCCGACGGCGGTGCCCCGAGCAACTTTTCACAATAGTTCAGTCTGACTTTGTGTTATCGTTGTCGGCTCGTTTCACTGATCGTTTTTTTCAATTTCAGTGGTCCTAGCTTCGATTTTGAAAGTCCCCAGCCTGCGGTGGCTGCTGTGGGTGGCAACGTAGTTTGTGTGTAATCAAAGGCTAAATCTTGAAAAAGACCCACAGCTGACCATCTTTGACCTTATTGTTTTAGCAACTTACCCTACAAAAGACGGTGGTTATGTAAGATGGCTTTGTACAAACATAATGCAAAACAGAATATCTTTTCATCTAATGGATGTCTCACTTGTTCTCACAGGCATCCCTAAGCGGTACTTCTATGGCCACTCCGCAGGTATGCTTTCATGATGTAATCACTTTCAGGATCTTGAACTGAACCCGTCCTGTGCCTTGGCCCAGATTGCTGGCGTAGCTGCATTGATATTGAGTGCGAGAGGCAAGAAATTTACTGGTTTAACTATGCGCTCTCGATTGGCAACCACGACCAAACTCATAAATCGTGCCAAATCCCATAGTCTTGACTGTTAGTGATTGTTGTTTGTTATTGGTGAGGTTTGACTCCGAATTGACGTGTGTACTGTTCAAGCCGCTGTTCACCAGGGTGGAGGCCTCATCGACGCTTTCTGTGCTGTGTGGACAAATACCACAATCTCAGTTCCTGGCCTGGTCCTTAACGATTCAGTCTCGATTCGGGCCAACCAAGAATTTACAATCTTTAATAACGGCACCGGTGTCTTCAATTACGTCTTAACCCACCGCCCAGCAGTAACGCTGGAAACCTTCTCGTCAGACACAAAGTATGGCCGCCCAGATATCAATCCCAGTTTTTCAAATCAGTCAGCAGTGGCCCAAATTAGCCCCGAAAAATTCAGTTTGCCGCCAGGCTCATCCCAAGTTGTCAAAGTCAAGTTCTTGCCTCCCCAGAACTTGGATCCACATTGGCTCACGGTTTATTCAGGCTTCATCGTGATGGTGAGTTTCAACCACCCTGCAGATACGTCTGTTTTGTTGAAACAAGCTGATAAACTCAACTGGGCTTAGGCTTCCGATGCTGATTGTCAAAGCCACAATGTTCCTTATTATGGTGTGGTGGGATCCCTCAAAGAACAACAAAGTAAGTCCTTGGGATTTGACGGAAGGCAGCCTGGGATTCACCGACAAACTCACTGATCATGCTGTGCATTATCAGTCCTAGACCGAGGTCCAAATGAGAATAAAACAGCCAGCTATCCCTATCTTGCTTATAAGAAGAAGAAAGAATCTTCCAAGGATGGAAAAAATTCCACCGATACAAAAGTCAAAGCCCAGCCCCCACTGAACACTACTTTTGTATGGGACTTGAAAGTACACAACACGACCGTCATTCATTTTAGAACACTCTGTAAGACCGTTTTGACTGGTATTTACAACGACAATGTTAGCACAAACACTTACCGCATGCTGTTTTGCAACAGTTGGCACGCGTCTTCTTCGCGCTGATGTACTACCTGGAAGTTCATTCTTATCCAACGCAACGGGCAGTAAGGACTTTGAAAAATCATTCAGGGGCTCACGCTTGCTGGGTCTCATACCAGACAGTGATACTGTGTCACTTTCACGGTCTAGGTTTGCCATAATTGCGCTTCGTTACGATCAAGATGAATGACTGACCCTCTGCGGTGTAACACAATTTTGTGAATTTTGCAGTGCGGACGATTCATATACCCAACCCTGGAATGCCACAGTTGTTACGAAAACCAAAAAGAAACCTCACTTTTTACCCAACGGAAACTACAAGGTTCTCCTTAGGTTTGTTGCTTGTTTGTTTAACATTCAAGACTGCGCAGTTTCTAATTTATGAATTCTTTAGGGCTTTGCGTGTTACCGGAAACAAGACGAACGAGGCCGACTATGAGTATTGGGTTTCCCCGCAGTTCAAATTGAAAAACTCCCGAGGGTAGATGGGCAGACTTCCCCATACATTCCCTTTGAGTTTGGGATGCTTCCCTCGCACTTCCACCTGTAGATGTACATACATTCCAATCAAACCCATACTGTAGAGTGGCCTTTTGTTTTTTGCAAACATTTACCTCTCCTAATTTATTTTCTCATCAAATCTCAGTATACCATATCCGTTTTTTTTTTCTCGGAATGCTCTTATCATTCAAATTGAAGTGTTCCTGAAACTTTCTGTTTGTCAACTGTTTTGACTCTTCCTTTGGCAAATTTTGGTTTTTAGAATCTCTTTTAGTTGTTTTGAATTGTGAGTGCATGATTTCTGGGGAAGTTCAATTTTATTATAAACCTGTCAGTATTGTGTGAAACAAGATACAAACTTTGATCAAGTTCCCCATGTTGTGACTATCTAAAGATGGAGCCCATTTTGGAATGAGTATCTAATGATCTCCATTACCCATTAAATCCATGTACAGTGAGTAGACAGTGAAAAGTGGCTGCTTATATTGGGTTCTACAGCTCCAAAACACAGACTTGAAGTTATGAGACTTGTTCAGGTGGTGGATAATAGGTCCCAGAAAATGAATATGAAAAAATAAAGGCAAAAACTAAAGTTTCAAAATTTATGAAAAATAGAAAGTAAAACTGATTTTTTTCAAAAGCTTTGATATTCATTTTGGGGTAGTGGGAGTGCTGAGAGAAAGAATGAGTGGAAAATGGGAAGAATGATTATAAATGAAAAAAATTGGAACCAAAAAAGGTTTGGCTAGGTTAGTTGTCCAGATTGGATCCAAAACAGTAAATTCTAGTGCTTTACTGCAATGTGGTCTGGTGAATGCCCCACTCGACAGCTGTTTGAAGTCATCTGGAAAGCAATTTTTTGAAAGTTTTCATTCATAATCATTCTTCTGATATCCCAATCTTCCTTTCTCTCAGCACTCTCACTCCCCCAAAATGAATTTCAAGGCTTTTGAGAAAAATAAAGGGACTTAGTCAAACGACTCCCAAAATTTGGAGTTCCGACTCCCAAATTTTGGGGACGTCCTGAGGACTGTCTGCGGACGGTCCTCCGGACGTCAGGCCCCCTAATTTTTTTTTTTCCCCCGTTTTTTGGGAGTCGGACCTCCAAACCCTTTGATTGGTTTGGGAGTCGACTCCCTAATAAAATAATACTTATTATTTTTTTTTTTGCGAACCCTCTCGGGGATTTTTGGGAGTCGATACTACAAAACCCGATGGAGTTTTGGAGTACGCCTTAAAAAAGAAAAGAAGAGGAACGCCCGGGAGAAATTCTCCAAGCATAAAACAGTCTACACTCTACAGGTGCAGGACTATGCATACCGGCTGTTTGAGAGTGAATGCATCATGCGGGGGATGAAATTGCTATCTGTTTTGTTTCTCTCTTTTCATGGTGATGAGAGTAACACCCATCGGAATCTCTGATATAAAGTGCAATCCCAGCGACGTTCCCTATACCCGGTGACGGCTGCTGCTGAAGCCATCCCCCTGGGGGGCCGGTCAGAGCCCACCGTTACTGCTGGAAAGGTATACCGGCAGCCTGGTATTCTTTGGAGGGAGTACTTCCCAAACATCCCT